ACGGATTGATCTCTGGCCTCTCCAAGCACACACACACACACACACACACACACCCCACACTAAAAAATTACTGGCAGAAGCTGGGTAAACTTGACTCTCTTTCCTCTTTAGTTGGGGTTATAAATGGAGAACATGTAAACGACAGGACCTGTCCTTAGACCTCAGGCAGTGACAGAAAAATACCCTCGTGAGCTGCTCGGACCTGGGAGAAGGGGGAAAAGCCATACATGGCAGAGGCAGGCTGTATTACAAAACATAGTCTCTGCAGGAAGCTTTGCAGGTTAAAATTTTAAGCTCAGCGGGTGGTTGCTGGAGCGTTCTGAGGCTATGTCAAATTCTGGGGAGCACTGATCTCAGAGGGGACTTAATGTCCTTCTTCCTGTGTCCTGTAGTGTGGCTAGCCTCAGCCCAGCCTATCCAGCCTCCCCAGGCCTTACCCAGCCACCTGAGTGACCCCTTCCTGGATCTACCCCCAACCCCCCAGCTCAGCTCTCCTAACTCCGCCTGGAGGGGCGCGTGCCAAACAGCTCGTTAAAAGCCAGCCCCAACGGTCCCTTTTGTCCAGTAGGCGCGGGCGGGTCGGGCTGGCGGGAGCTGGGGGCGGGAGCCGCCGGGTGTTGGGCGGGAGGCGAGCCCGCGGGCGCGGGATCAGCTCGGCGGGGAGGAACTGCGGCCGGGGTTGGCGGCGGTTGGAATTGGGGATAGGGATTGCATTTCTGGGAGGTAGTTAAACACAGTAGATATAACGATATCTTATTTGATGTAGGGAGACGCACGGGACCCAGCACCCGTGAGTGTGAAAAAATGCTTTGGGGGAAAGGCTGGCCTGGCTTTGTAGGAAGGAAGAAGTTGGGAGCCAGAGGAAGGGATTTACAGACATTTACGTTATGTGAAACCGAAGTGTAATTATGTGGTTGAGAAAAGATGTGCATTTGGGAAGCCTGGGAAGCCTCTGGCTGCCACTTGGTAGAAAACTCTCCGACTCAGCAAGCGTAGATTTGAGTCAAGCAAAACGTTATGTTGGAAGAGACTGCGCAAACCTGTAATCCCAGCAGCACTGGGAGGCTGCCACAGGGAGACTGCGCAGAGTTAGGGCAGCTGGACTGGTTACCAAGACCCTGTCTCAACACAGCCAAATTTTCTCACTGATCTGTCAATTCCTTCTTCTAAATCCTTCGAATTGGCCTCTTCACAGCTTTTGTATCACACACATCCTAAAATTCCCACTCTGGGAAAACACAGGCATGTTTGAATCAGATATTTGATGCAAATTACGATAAAACATTCAAACATTTCTCTAAAGAGTCCCCCCCCCCATTTCTCTCTAAAGAGAGAGTACCATAGGTTTTTTTTTTTTTAAATCAGAATGACCACAATATTAAATAATTAAAAAAATGAAATTTAGAAGCTGGGTGTGGTGGTGCGCCTCTCTAATCCCAGCACTCTAGAGGCAGAGGCCGAGGCAGGCTGATCTCTGTGGGTTTGAGGTTGGTAGGCTGGTCCACATAGAGGGTTCCAGGCCAGTCAAACACTGCTAAATATTACTAGTACTACTATCTCACCATCACCACTACTACTACTACTAATTGTTTCAGACTTGTGGAAACAGAAATGGAACAAAATTCCCCTAGATGTCAACATTTTATAACCAGAGTACATTGATGGGAGCCAGACTGGTGTTTCCACTATCCCAGTAACTTACTAGATATTATTCAGGTTTCTACATTTAATCAGTGCCAGTGATTCCCCTTCGGTGGAGGATCCCACCGAGAACCTCACAACTTACACAGTAGTTTCTCTTAATGGGTAACAATCCTTTTTATTTTTATTTATTTATTTTGTGAAACTGGCCAATTATTTGGTAGACATTCAGTGTGGGTTTTGTCTCCTCTCCTCATCATTAAATGGAGATTTTACCTTTTGAGTAGGAATACTTTAGAACTGAGGTTATGCCCCAGCAGTTAGTCACATCACACCAGTAGATCTTCTTAAAGTGATTTTAGATTCCTCTAAAAACATTTTAGAGGAAGACACTTGGATAATACTTTCCTGCTTCACATAAGAAAAGGGCATTTAGGGGCTGTGTAACTGTGGAACGAGTGTCTATATGTACTTTTACTGTGTGACAGATAGCCACACTGTAAGCAAAGAATTCACTGTTAGTCTTTATAAGACGTTGGGTTCTTAAAAAAATATTTACACGCATCTATGGGCTCCTTGTTTTTACAACGACTCCCTTGTTCCTACAAAATGGGTACATGTGAAAATAATATTAAAACAGAATAGAGCAGATAAAAATTTCACATTTTCAATATATTGCTAGTTTGGGTTGAAACTTTCAAAAGCGATCATTTAAATTAACAATCCGCCTGACTCATGCAATGATGGCTCACTTTTGGTCTCAATGTTTGTAGGAAGGATTTACTGGGACTTGGAGTGTGTAAGCATTTGAATATCCTGCAAGAGAAGTAGAATTCTTGTGGGTAAGAAAGATATTTTAATACAAGCATTTCGGTAAATCTCATCTGAAGGTTGGGTTACCTGCACACATTTTCAACCTTTGTCATTGAAAACAGGGAACTGGGTGGCTGCGAAGCCAGTATTTCTTGTTTCAAAAGCATTCGAGTGAATTTTCAAAAAGTACTCGAGTGGATTTAGCGGTGTTTGTTTAAAGCATCGACACGTTTGAACATCTGCCTGATACCTATGAATCTCCTACCCCAAAATGCACAAAGGAACCGATTAGAGTAAAATGCGATTGATGTCAGTTTGGGATGAGGGTGTGAGAGGCGAGAAGCCGGCTGCTAGACCGGTTTCTCAGACAGTTGAGCTTCCTGCCGTTATGGCACAGCGTGCTTCCTTAGCAGCTCAGATGGGCGGCCAAGGCTGCGCAGCCCATCTGGCTCCTTGTCAGGCCCCTCCAGTAATTCCGTCACCAATTCAGTCCCGGGCCTGATCAGTTTAGTTTGTCTTGCTGGCTCTTTCCTCTCTCACAAGCCTCCTGTATAGGAAGTAATTCACAGATCCAGCTAGGGAACTTGACCAGTTCCCAAAGTGGACAGTGCAGATGATTTGTCGAATGCATATGTGAATGTTTCCCCTTCTCAGCAGCCTAGATAATAATAATTACTGAATGGATAGTTCAATGTTTTCCCTTCTCAGCAGCCCAGACACCCCCCTACATTTTCTTGAGTTTGAAGGTAGAGGAGTTGATGCGCTCCTTGGGAAACCCGTTAAAAGTTCAGTAATTTTCACAAGCGGTCGTCACCAGCAGTGATCAGAAGACGGCGGAGAGAATTACGGGTGGGACTGGAGAAAGGGAGAAGAGAGCGGAGCGGGATTAGAGTCCGTTAGAACCAAACGTTTTTGTTTTTGTTTTTCTGAAAACGGATCGAAGGTGAACTCCAAACACCCGCTTCCCTACCCGCCGACCCCGCGCCTCCTGCGGTGGAGACGGCGCTCTCCGCCCGCCCGCCACTGCTGGCGGCAAAGCTTGGCGCTGCGGCGCGCGCCACCACCGGGGAGGCTCGGTGCCAGACCGCGGGCAGGAGGGGGCACCCCGACACCCGACGCCGGGGAAGCCCTCCTGGGCTCGACGTCATCGAGGCGCCGGCCTATGGCGGGGCGGAGGTGGGGGTTCCCGCTTTGATTGCCGCCCCGCGGGCTTTTTAAAGGGTACCCTGGGGAATACGCTCCGGTAGCGGTGGGAGGAGCGGGGATGCAGAGGCCGGAGGGGAAGAAGGATCGCGGGCTTGGGGGTGGAGACCGGGTGGGGATGAGGCTCTAGAGGTTTGGGAAGTCGTGCTTAGCCCTTGCAGGAAGAGGCCAGACTCCAGAACAGCGCACTCACCTGGAGATGGAGTGGAAACTGCTGCTGCGCACCGCCCCGGAGGAGGACCCGGATCGAGGAAGGATGCTGTGCGTGAGTCCCATTCTTTTCTTTCTGGGCCCAAGAAAGCCTTTGAAGGGGCTTCTTGAGGAAGGTGAAGTTTGTAATACCCGCTTAGGAACAAGAAATGTCAGGAAAGTCTACAGCCTAGTTTAACTTTTGTGCTGTGTGAAATTTATACTCTGGAGGTGCCCGGTTGCTTTAGAAAGAGTGAGTGAATGTGGTCCAGCAAGCTCAGGATCCAGAAAAATTCCATACCTCCCCCCTTATGAGTTTCCTAAAGAGGTTTCTCCCTTCACGTTCATCTGTTTTCAAAGAAAAATGACATGCGGACGCTCGCCAACGACATGAAGCAACAGCGAACTCAAAGTTTCCCCAAGGTGAGTGTTCGGGGCTTGCCCTTCTGTCTTCATTCTGATCTTGAGCAAACTAATTCTTGCCAAAGAAGGTGTTTGCAGGAAGTGTGGCGTGGTCTGAAAATGGGAGAATCAAAAACCTTTAACTACAGAATCTACTTGAGACTTACTAAGAAACAGATTCTCACAACCGATGGTAGCCATTTACACCTGGTTGGCGGGCGCTTCCTAGCTTCTGTCTCCGGAGGATGAAGCGTGGGTGTGTCAGGCAGGCAGTGCATTGCTAGCTGGCTGTTAGACTTCCATCCCCACAGCTGCTCGCTGCACTACCCTCTGCCACACTCAGAAGCATGCAAAGACGTGGAAATGATGCCATCTGGCGGATAACGAAGTGTACTCACGACAGACGGGATGCTGGATCCAATGGAGTATTTCTGCCCGGTAAAGAAAGGCCCAACCCAAAACTTGTCGTTTCTCTCTTTTTTAAACAGAGTGTCCTTTTGAAAATTATTCTTATTTTCTTATGTATATTTCCATGCATGTATATCTGTGCACCAAGTGCGTGCCTGGTGCCGGTGGAGTCCAGAAGAGGGCTTCCGATCCCCTGGAGTTTCAGACGGTTGTGGGCCATCCCGTTGGTGCTGAGAATCTAACCTGGGTCCTCTGGAAGAGCAGCTAGTGCTTTTAACCACTGAGCCATCCAGCCTCTGTACTTTCTTAGATGAAAAAGTTAAAGGCTCATATGACTCACATCTCTATTACCATTTATCATGCTTCTCATTATGCCAACTAGCTCACTTACTTTTAAACATACTTACTTCAAACCTCACCATTTGAATAGCTTTTTCTAGACAATCTATACATTTTTCTATATCCAAGCAGTGACACTCACAATTGAATACACAGCTGAACTTTAGAAATCAGTGACTAATGTCACCTATAATGGGAGAGAAATGACATTGAAAAGCCCTTACATTCTTTAGACACTTTAATAATGATCTACCACGCACATTTCCTCAGTTGTAATCCCTGCCCAAATTATTTTTTATCTTCCAGATACTTTACTGCCTAATTCAATTGAACCTTTGTTAATTCATTTTTACTAAAATAATATCTGTATTTAAACTTTTAATTTGGAAAACCTAAGTATAAGAATTCAGAGTTCTTAGCTAGGTGGTGGCGGCACATGTCTTTAATCCCAGCACTTAGAGGCAGAAGCAGGTGGACTTCTGGGTTCGAGGCCAGCCTGGTCTACAGAGCAAGTTCCAGGACAGCCAGGGCTACACAGAAGAACCCTGTCTCTAAAACAATTTAAGAGTGCTTAAAAGTTTTTTTTCACATGCTTATAGCTTGAAAATATAAACTTTATTTCTTATAGTTTAGGAGAAATAAAACAAGGTTTCTCTATAAATCCTCTTCGGTGTAGCTGCTAAGATTAGAGTTCTGGAGTTGGCGAGAAGGTTCAGCTGGTAAAGGCACTTGCTGCTTATCCTATCCACCTGAGTTTGATGCCCAGCATTCACATGGTGGAAGGGGAGACTTGACTCCCTCAAGTTATCCTTTGCTCTCTGCATCCACGCCGCCACACTCCAGCAGTTCTGCGGCTGTGTTTTACGTTACCAACTTAGCCTCAGAGACTTCATGGGCTGTGAAAATCAGCACACACTCGCCGGAGTCAGGTAGGCAGTGTATTGTTAGTTGGCTGCTTTGTGTCAAATCAGCAGCCACGGCTACCCTGCCACTTGCTTCTGGACAGATTCTTCCTGTAATGAAGTGCGCCGGCTTAGCCATGTGTGACGGGTTGGCAGTGTATTGTTAGCTGGTTGAATATGTGAATGGCACCAGCTAACATACAACTGCAATCCTATTGCACAAACAGTCAACGTAAGAATGCTATTACATGTATAATTCATGCGTATGCTTTGCCGTGAAGAAGGGCACTGTTTATGATAAGTTATTATTATTCTTATTCTTGGGTGACTTAGTTATAGTACAATGGAAAGATTTATAGTAATGAAAGTACTATACTTACTTTTAAAAAATTCAAGTAATAGTTTTGGAGTCCTGCTTGATAAAGCATTTATAAACTTAGGTGTTTGATTTTTGAACACAAGATTTAGAATATAACGGAAAGCCTCGTGTGTCTCCCCCTAAATCTCTGATATTCTTTTGGGGCTGTCAGTTTCATAATATGGCCATAGAGTTGGCCTCTGTGACCTTGCGTGTACCCCAATCGAAGGGAGAAGAGGGTTAGTTTTCAAAACAAGCCACGGACGATGCCATTTTACTTGGAGTATCTAGAACATTTGGGATCGTTTGGGGGTGGGGGAGAGGCTGGTATTTTGGAAGACAACTCAGTTCTCCTATTTTGTGTAAAATACCGCATATCGGTTTACAATAATTGGAAGAAGATGAGATTGAGTCCATGAAGAGGGAAGAACTGACCACAGATATTATTTCAAACAGTTCCACATTCTATGGGAGGCCATTTGACTCATGGAGCGGAGGCAGAGGGTCATATGGTGACCTCAGGTGGATATTTGCAGCAAATCACTAGAATTCACTTTGGCGGACTGGCCTGTTAGTCACACATAAAAGAAAAATACAATGCTATTTAACTTAGTGGGCCCAAAGTTACTGTTGAAATAATTTTGTGGTTACTATTTAAATTTTAATATATCTCTTGGACATAGGTTAAACAGATACTTTTAATTGATTTCTATGCATTTTGCTACTTTCAAATCTCATCCATTTTTTTTGGGGGGGGGTGACCAACACTAAATTCTTTTAGAAAAGAATTTAAACTTATTCTTTGATAATGTCACACTTGTACACAATATATTGAGCATATCCACCCCAAACCCCCTCTTTCCCACTCCTCTGGGACCTTTCCTAACACACCCCCTTCCACCTCTATGGCTCCTTTAAAAAAGAAATAACACACCGAGTCCATTTAGAGCTGTTTGTACTCACACAGGTGTGGGACCATCCATCTGAGCACGAGCAATCCACTAGCAGCTCCTGCCTTCTCTCGGTAGCCATCTTTTGCCAATAGCTCCTCAGCTGGGTGGAGCCTCCTGAGCCCCTCCCCCAGCCATGATTGACAGTTGGCTGGTTTGATCTTAGGCAGGTCTGGTGTATCTGCTGTGAGCTCATGAAGGCAATGACCACACATGTCCAGAAGACAGTGTTTCTCAGTACTCTTTCTTATCCTCTGGCTTACATCCTTTCTATCCACCTTTCTATGATGTTCCCTTGTAGGGGTTGATTTTTTATATATGTATGTATTTATTATGTATATATGCACATATATGTATGTATATATAATGTATATCATATAAATGTCCCACTTAGGGCTAAGTAACCAACAGTCACTTATTCTCAGTACTTTGACCTATCACATTTTCATCTTTTTAAAAAAGGTTAAATTTCAGCATGTTTTTTTTCTGTAGTTACTGACCTGTCAATAAAAATAAAATCTACTAAATTTAGAAGGCTTTTCGTGTGTTTTATTTTTAAATTGAAGAGCGCGGACTAAAATCACCCATAGTCGTACTCAGTAAGCATGTCTAGATTGTGGAGTGCTGGGGATGTAACCTAGGCCCTGTACAAGCACATGTATTTAAAGCTGTTCCGTAGTTCTCTTCCTGGGATGGTGAGGAAGGAGGAAAGGAGTAGAGTGAAATCACTGTAAGGCAATGAGATCCACGAGTAAGGAGAAAAGTGAAGAAATACATTAAAAAAAAAAAAGGTCAGGCATGGCGGACCTGCAATCCCAACTCACAGGAGGCGGAGGCAGGTGGCACAGCAGTTTAAGGGCAGCCTTGGCTGTATAACAGATGGTTTGAGACCAGTCTGCAGTCTGGGTTTTATGAGACTCCCATTTGAACAGACAGACAGACAGACAAAACAAAACCCCCAAACTAACCCAAACCAAATGCAAAGAAAAAACTCAAGGGGAAAAGGGTGTAACATTGCTGTGGGGGCGGGGTGTGAGGGGAAGGGAGGATGCACAGAGGAAGTGAAGAGACCAGCTGATTAAAGGTGGAGGCGGGGCTGGAGAGATGTCTCAGTGGTTAAAAGCACTGGCTGCTCTTCCTGAGGTGCCCAGTTCAATTCCCAGCAACCGCATGGTGGCTCACAGCCATCTGTAATGCCATCTTTAGTGAGGTCTGGTGCCCTCTTCTGGCGGAACACACTGTATATACAATAAATCTTTTTTAAAAAAAGGTGGAGGAGGAAGCGACTCTGCTGCCCTGGGAAAGCACCGTGCTAGTCATGGTGCTGGGGGTGGAACTGTGTCCCATGGCTACCCCATGCTCTCCATCCCCTCGAGGATTATGCCCTGGCAGTGTCTGGGAGGAGGAAGAGTGGGGTGGATTCATCTGTAGGCAGAACAATAGAATTGTATTGCAAGTCAATCTGGGGACTGAAGGACAGTGTCCCTTTACCAACTCTATCCAGGCAGGCCATCTTTCAAAGAAACACTATGAGCATGTTTTGTACAGGAATCATGCAGTGCTTCTCTCACACAAGGCAAGATTTTAAAACAGTTACTATTGGAATATAAAACATAGAATAGTTTTTGGTTTCCTTGGGTTCCTTCTCCCTCTCCCTCCCCTTCTCCTTTTCTCTTTCCTCCCTCTTCTCTCCCCGTCCTCTCCTGCTCTACCCCTTCCTTCCTCCATTTTATTCTTTTGACTAGCCTAGCTTCTCACTTGAGGTCAGCTGTGGACAGTGCTGTTAGGCCAGCAGACCTCTCTGTGATCAGGCAGCATTTCATAATGCAGAAACTGCACGCAGGCCCACATTTGTATGTACCCTCTCAAAATAGCGTATTTATAGTAAGAAAAGCATTTTTGATGCATTTCAAATGTAGGCTTTTCTCCTTGGGGAGCCTTATGACACCTATAATAAGTCTGTTTTTAACGACTTTGGTCTACTGGAGCTATCTCCTGTTGATTGATACAATGATTAAAATTTCAGAAAATATGCAAGCTAGACACTAAGCCACTGGTTGAAATCAGTTATATGGGAACATTTAGGCTATGAAATCATGCATCTGCAAGTCAAGATTCCTCTTCTAGAGAGCCTGTTGTTAAACTATACACACACACACACACACACACACACATCAAGCTATATATAGTAAAATTACTCAGTTTTTATATTTATTACTATATACACACGTTGCAGAGGTGCAGCACTCAGGGAAAATTCGTATTAATAGGTAATGAGTTTGTATGGAGTATTCCTTTCTACCCTCCAAACAAAACCAGAACAAACTTTAGTCAATGAATTATTCAACTCAGTGAGGGTCCATGCAATCACATCCCTTTGTTTTGCATTGAAGAGGATGGCTAACCGCCTTTTTACACACCTCCTACATCCTGCCGCAGTCTGCATTTGAGAAGCAGTGCTCCAGTTAAGGGTAAGTGTGACCACTGAGTTGCGAGTGGCAGCACACTGTCCAACAGCTCTTCTCTATTTTCAGGGCTCATCAGCTGATTGTTGGGGAATTCTGAATGGACTCTTGAGTTCCTGTCAGGGCCATTCATAGAACATGCTTTCAGAGCCTTACAAGCCTGCCCTGCCTTCCATAGTGCAAAGGGAGACTGGCTATTGTTGAGGTCATGGGTTGGGTTAGGCAACCAGACCTGGAGACACTTAAGGGAAGAAGCTCGCTATTTTGGAGAGAAGTGGAGACTTGACGACCATGAAATCACACCCACCGGGGCAGTCAGGGTCTCTCCCTGTTCAGCTCTGTGACCATCCACCTGGCAGTGTGGGGTCCACATTGCCTGTGTGCCGCTGGCCCACTCAGTTCTGCTCACGTGCCTGATGTGAGCATGCGCAGCAAATGTCTTGTGCTTTTGGTGCTCTGGGAAGTCACGAGTTGGAGTATATGGCAACAGTGCCTGGGAAGCAACACTTGGAGGGGTGGACCCTGGTCACAATTGTCCCTAGAGACCCAGAATTTAGATTGCTAATAGGCTGTTGGGGTAAAATTACAAAAGACAGGGAGACTTCAATGACTTCTCTTTGGCTGACAACCCAGGTTAATTCCAGTTGCTTCCCTGGTGAGTACGCCATTTGACAGAATTAGGAGGGTCGTTTTGTTCCATTTGGGGGCTGATGTTTACAGTAGTTAGTGACTTACAGAAGTCACGCAGCTGGTGGGATATCCCCAGGTTTGCCAGCACACAAATCTGGCATTCCCAAGGCTATCCCGGCAACCTATAATGGGGACCACATTCCCATCTGGTCCAGAGAGCTCACTAACACACCAGTAGCCATGTGGCTGGAAATACACTTTGAAACAGAAGGCGCCACAGGGCATGTGTGTTGTTTCTCCGAGACTTAGTATAGTGTGGTGGCATTACTGAACTCACCACGAAAATACCTTCACTTGTCTGCATCGGGTCTAAGCAGAGTCAACCACAGGTCACTTCATTGGCTCTTCCTCCACTGGCAAACTGTAAAGGGCTGTATTCACACACGCGAATTTCAGTCCTCAGTGTAATTCTTTTAGCAATGACAAGGCATTTCCTGGGTAGTAATCCACCTCACCAGCTGGGAGGTCACTTCGTTAGTCACAAGGCTGACAACACATAAAGATCATGGCCATGGGAGAAAAAGGTGCAAATATCTGACAAAAAGGTCCAGGCTTTAGAATTTGAGGATTTAGAATTCAGAATTAGAATTGCAAAACTTACAGTATTGCAATTACCACTTTTGCATTGGAGTTTTGACTCTCGGAAGGTGGTGGTCATGGTTTTGAGTATCAGAGTAACACAGAATTAAATTCTCCCAAATGGCTAATTTAGTCTATTAGCAGCCAAAATCGACCTGTAAGAAGTCAAGTGAAACGATCATATACTTGTGTCCTTTTCCCTATACTTGGCAGTTTTTACTCAAAATTAAAGGCTAACTTCAGTTCTAATGTCCTAACTATGTAATATAAATTGATCCTAGAAAAATCACATCAGAGGGGCTGAAAATGATGCTGTTTTCATATCATTTAAAAGTGATAATTTGGCCAGATTCAATAAAACATTTAAACCTATATTAAAGAAACACCAAATAAAAACCCGTATGTAAAACAAACACATGTAATGATTTGAAAGTCTGCACTTTGCAGGGCTGGGTGACTCACACCTTTAATCCTAGCACTCAGGAGGCAGAGGCAGGCAGATCTTTGAGTTTGAGGCTAGCCTGGTCTACACAGAGAAACCCTGTGTCGAAAAACAAACCAAAAAAAACGCTTTATACTTTGCAACTTCCATTTTTATTTTTTATTACATCTGTGTAGCCACTTGGAGTTAGTTACTTCAACACTGTCACCCACACAGTGCTCTTCGTTTCACATAGTGACCTTGGGCATTAGTTTTCCCGTAACGGTCAACCCTAGAGAAAGTTACAACAAAAAAACTGAAGCACATTGGTGACTGAGCTTTCTAAATTTTCCTCCTGGTCAGATGAAGTAATAGACTTCATCATGATTCTTTGGCTACCCCACTTTTTTCCCTCTTTGGGTAACATTTCTATTTTGGGGACATCCATTGCACCTGAGTAGTGAGATGGCCTTAAAAAATCTTTTAGTACCATATTTGTCAAAATCTAAACAGAGGCGGAATCCTCCAGGGTCATTCCTGTCCAGTTGTGCTGGACTGGCTAACGTCTTCATAGGTCCTCTTTCTTTTTAAGAATCATTTGCCCTATCATTTGCGACACGTGAGGCCTGATGGCTTCTAGAGGTTCTTCTGGTCTCCAGAACTTCACAACTTGTCCTTCGGGGTTGACCAGATACTTCCAAAAGTTCCACATTGGCTCCTTCTTGGAAGAATCTAAAACGTTCAGAATATATTTTCATGAGCATGGCTTTATTCTTTGTCAAGGTTTTCAGTTTCATTACATCTGCATAAGTGACAATATTAGAATCAGAATCTAGGACTGTCATACTATTAAGGACAAAATAAAACACCCCCACAAAGCAGAGCTCAAGGCCTCAGTAACCAGACTTCAACATTCTTGACTTCACAGATGGCTGTACTGATCTAGAGTCAGACATGAAACCAAGTTATGTATTTAGATTTCTTGATCTAAACATTTTCTTTTCTTCCTTTCTTTTTTTTTTTTCTTTTGCTTTGTAGCCTAAGCTGGACTTGAACTTGTGACCCTTCTGACTCAGTCTCTTGGGTCCTGGGACTAACAGGTGGGTGAATGCCACCAGGCCCAGCAAGACCCAACAAGTTTAATATTTAGTTCTTAATGTTTGTGTAGCCCAGGCTGGCCTGAAATTCACTACATAGCTTAGGCTAACTTTGAACTCACTATAAAGAAAAAGCTGACATTGAACTCTTAATCCTCTAAGCTTCCACCTTCCCAGGACTGGGATTATAGGTGTTTGCCACCCCAGCCAGTCTGTTCTCAACATTTTAAAATGTAAAATATTCTAAACTTCTTTGGCAATAGGAAGTTGTACAAATTGAATTTTCACATTTAATGTAATAATGTTTCAAATATTGTTACTGATTATATAGCTGGAAATGGCAAAGGATTTGAAATGAACACATTTCAAATTTGAGAAATTATGACATTCTTTTGATTAATCTTAATTTATGTAATAAATGTGGATTTTTTTCATCTCTGTCATTCTGTATCTGTGTCCCTAATATTGATGAATATGAGAAAAAAATATAGTAAGTAGGATTTGGAGAGATGGTTCATTGGTTAAGAATGAGTACTGGTCTTGCAGCAGACCCCGGTTTGATTCCCAGCAACCACATGGTGGCTCACAGCTGTGGGACCCCAATTTTAGGTGATTTGATGCCCTCTTCTAGCCTCCTTGGGCACCAAGCACACATGTACAAAAACAGACACGCAGGGAAAACACTCATATACATAAAAACAAATATACCTCTTAGAAAAGACACAGCAACTAAAACCAAAATCAAGTCCTCACTCTGTGCCTAGTTCAGTGTTCAAATGGGTTCAGTAAGTTCAGCGCTCCTGGCACTCCCAAGAGATGGGCATTACTAGCGTCAACATTTTGCATATGAGAAAATGGAGGCCTGAACTTGAGACTGTGTAGCCAGTCAGTGGGAGAGGCAGAGTTATTACCTGTACCTCCTTCCAGGATCGGTAGACTTGACCTCTAGGTTCTCTTATCTCCCTGTCTATTAAGTTCAGGGCGACCTCACACACTGTCTGGTGCCTTTTTGATTATGGGAGGTGAGTTGGGTTTCACCAGGTGTTTTTTTTTTTTTTTCTCTCTTTAGATTATATTTGGATGTTTAGCTCAAGGATTCCTCCTCTGCCTTTTCTTCAGTATACCCCTTAACGAAAAGCCACGGGGTCCTGTTCATTGCATTATGTGTGCTTTAAATAGATGTCTATGGCTAGCTTAATTATGGAGGAAGCCTCACATGACTGACTTCTGAAAATAAGCAAGTTATTTTGCTTTGAATTTCAGCAAACACCCAGTAAACTGACAGGTCAACCTTGAGGATAATGTCTCCAATAAAAAGGCCACCATAAAACGAAACATGAAGAAATGCCCAGTTAATGATGCTCGGCCACAGATATTCATGAAGCTTTGGTAAGGGATGGGGATACTGCCCCAAAGTCTAGGTAGATGATGGGAGAGCTGAAATACTTAGGGAAAGAAGTCTCTGGCCATGTCTCACATACAGTCTTCAACACCATGGTTATAAGGAATAAAAACATATCAAGGTAGAGTTCTTTACCATGTAAGAAGTCAAAACACTGATTTCAGGGATGTATAACTTCTAGAAAGTTGCAAAGGATGAGATTCTGAATCTTTGACAGTTTTACAACATTTTTTTTCCAGTAAAATATTTCAATTGAAATAGGAACTATGGTCCTATCTATGTGTCTTTTCTATATCATGTATATATAACATATGAAATGAAAAGGAATGAACAACATTGAGGCAGGGTAGATATTTACCAACAAGAAATCTAAACGCAGGTTCTGCTTCGGGCCCTAAGATCTTAATCTTGTGGAAGATGGGGAATGTGACTCCGTAGGTTTTTCTTGCAAAAGATTCTACCTCCTTGCTGGACCTGGGCTCCGATTCTCCAAACTGATTGCACGGGAAAGCCAGGACGTTGAAGTGATAGGGTCCAAACTCCTTGTGCAGCTCCTTGAGGGCCAAGTAACTTTTGTCGGTGTACCGGCAGTCACTAGCCACGTTTACAACTAGGGAAGCCTCCCGGAAAAAGAAAAAAAAAACCCACCGGAAAGAGAAGCAAGAGATTAAAAAAAAAAATCCTTCAGGCAGTTAAAATCCTAAACCACTTCGGAAGAATACAACCTCTGATAGACTCCGTCTTTTTAGACAGATCCAACTTTATTAAAAGCCATAACCCAGATGAACGGGCTAAGGCTCTGACAGAGTTCTTGTTAGATTACTTAACTAACACTCTTATTAGCGGATCTCACCATAGCCACACAGCATCTTCCAGATCACAGCATCAGGTCCGCACAAAAGGGAAAGCAGCTTTCGAGAAACACAGTCGCTTAGCGGGTTGGAAGTTAAAAGCTCTCAGAACTCTGATAACTAAAAGAGGACCTCTAACGACATTGCTTTGAAGACAGCATTCCAACGTACGACTGCAACGAACCCTCCTCTACCGTGAGAAGAAGTATCAAGGCCGAGGAACAACAGAAATAAAAATCCCAAGACTTACTTTGCCTTTGAACTTTTCCAGAGACACGATCTTTCCTTTGGCATCCTTCACTTCAAAGGAATAGAAGCTGTTGACTCTCGGTTTCAGGAATCTTAATTGCAGGAGAAAAAGCATCACGGTGCACAGAACCATAGACAGCAGGACAGCAAATACCTTGGCTTTGGACCCGGAGCCTTTCAGTGGGTAGGCAGCGAAGGGCTCCATTTTGGATGGTTCCCGGAGGAGTCTCAGCAGGCTGGAATTCAAGGAGGGGCTGAAACTTGAAACCCGCGGAGCTCCGCGGAGAACCAACCGGAAGGGCTCGCAGTCCCCCCACCCTGGCCGCTAAATAACCGGAGGACCCTCCCCAGAAGAAGCAAATGAAGTCAGAAACGCGGCAACATTTCAACATGTTTGTAATGTGGTTGCAATTGAACAGTTTTTGGTTAGAAAAATTGGCATCCGTTTAGTGGATTCCTAACGCTAAGTAAACGTTCCACCAGCAGGTGGTGCTCTTGTAACTTGGAAATGAGTGCTTGTTCACGGCATCCAGTGTGTTCAGGGAGCCGTGGATTGGTGGAAGAGGACTGAAGTTTAGACGTAGATTAATGCGGTCTGTTAATAGGACGTGTGACCACAAAGAACTTAAAAGCTTGTGTATTTATTAACCGTATTATACGAAGATGAGGAATTTGCAATAGAGCAATGAAGATCTGAAAAGGCCATTTTATTTATCCTGACTTCATCCAGGGAAGGCAATCAGAAGCTAGGTCTTCCACAAGAGCAAGAGCTCTTAACTGCTGAGCCAACTCTCCACTCTCCAGGCCCCCAGATAGTCTTTGCAGTCGGTCTTTCTTGTTGGACCTTTTTTGGACCTCTAGCCCCCAAATAATGACATGGAGACTTATTATTAATTAGAAGCCAGGAGAATACTGCAAAAATAGAAAGTCATAACGGCAAAAGTAACATCCTTTCTCTATCAGAAACTATAGCAGCTTTTTTCTCCATAGTTTTCTCATCATCACTGGCAAGATATATACTTTATAATGTGACCACACACATGCACACACAGAGGCACACACATAGACATGCACACACAGGCACACATATGCAGGCACAGACACACAGGTACACACACATATGAACACTCAGGCACACATATATGCAGGTACATATACACAAGTGTATACACACATCCACACACCCATACACACATATCCTCACACACACATATACCCCCATACACACAAACCTTACCCCACATACATACACATATAACCCCCCATACACATACGTATATACATGCATACGTATACACACACACACATACATCATTGAGAAGTTTCGTGAAATAATTTTTTGAACTATTTTGTAATCCTGTCCATGGCACTTTTGAGACAGCATGGTTCTGATCTATGGTTTTATTACCCATGGATTCCATCTTATAGATTGGAAAATGCTGGGCTCTATGTTAAACCGGCATTTTTACAGCAGAATCCAGTCCTAAACCCCAAACAATAACTGCACACCCACACCTCTGCAGACACATTCACTAATTGCTGGATCTTTCACCTCCACTTTTCTCTTTGGCTATAACTTGCTACCCGAGGCCCAACTCTGTTCTGATGGAAACCGGAGGCCGCTAAGGGCTGCATATCCCCCGTCACCTTAGAATTTGCCCTGTTTACGTACAGGAAGTTCTAAACTGTCCACTTGTGTGTTTCCTGGAAGTCAAGAGTGAGCTGAGACGATAGCTTTCTGTCACTCCTGGTGCCTTAACGGGCCTGTCCCCAGCTTCTGTGGTGTGTGTGTGTGTGTGTGTGTGTGTGTGTGTGTGTGTGTGTGTATGCATGAGCGTGTTTTTGAGGGTAGTTCAGCAAGGCCTGTAGTTTAGGCTTAATCTTAGGTAAAACCAGCCAGAGAAACCACTTTTCTCCTCCCCTTCTGTTGGATAATAACAGATACAGCAGAGCTGGGCGTGGGGGTGCATGCTGGGGACCCCAGCACTGTGGCAGCGGAGGGAGGAGATCATGGTTTCGCCTCCTGTCTGGATTATACAGAGAGAGCTGTCTCAAAAATAAAAATAAGGAAAACAAAACAAAACCAACCACCACCGCTGCCACCACTACTACTGCCGCCGCCGCCGCCGCCGCCGCCGCCGCCGCCACCACCGCTGCCAAAACCCAAACAAACGAGAATGGATGTAATAGAAAGAAATGATCATGCAGAGATTATTCCTTTAAAACATATTTCCAGTAAAGAACAAAACTACCCAGAAAGTCGTCAGTCCCTAAGTATGACGGTTTTTCTTTGCGGCAGTCTGGTTGCGTTGTTCAAAGCTCTGCCTTCCACCATGTTCCAGAATTCCTTTGTGCTCAGCCACTCTGGCCCTTGCTTTCCAGGTGGGACCCTTGGACCTGTTACACGGCCTTCTTCTAGCCCATCCAAGACCTCTTGACTTAGAATTTTCCTTCTTTGCGGTACGTCCTCGCGATGCATGCACACCAAACTCCAGAGGCTTTCCACTGGAATCTTTTCTGGTTCCAGGAGGGGTGTGTGTCACGTCTCTATGAGTACTCTCAATACTTTATCCAATTCGTCAGGCACTCCGAGGAAATGGCTGGGGAACTTAGGTTTTAAAAAGTTAACCCATAGAAGAACTGCTAAACTTGAGATGACTGGCCACACTAGTGGAAGCCCATGAACTGTAGACTGGTGGCTGTGGAACCCCCATGGGACTGGACTAGGCTCTCTGGATACAAAAGACGGTTGTTTGGCTCGAACTGTTGGGGGTGGGGGGGACACCCAGGCAAGGGGATCGGGATCCGTCCCTGGTGCATGGGCAGGCTTCTGGGAATCCGGTGCCTGTGGTGTGATGCCTTGCACAGCCTTGGTACAGTGGGAAGGAGCTTGGACCTGCCTAGGTTCAGTGTGCTGGGCTCTGCTGACTCCCCATGGGAGACCTTGATTTGGGGCATGTGGGGATGTGGGGTGGCTTGGGAAAGAGGATTTGGGGCATGTGGGGATGTGGGGTGGGAGGAGGAAGGAGAGGAGATCTGTGGATGGTATATGGAGTGAGTAGAAAATTTCTTAATAAAGAAAAGAAAGATCATATAGGCCATAAAAACAAACAGAAAAAAAAAAAAGAAAGAAGAACTGCTAAACTTTGAAAATTTGAACTGTGAGATTCATCCCCTTGAGAGAGGGCTCCAGAGTGGTTCCCTCTGTGAGGGGTGTTGTGGGTCACTCCTTAGACAGGGTCTTTTTTATATATAGTGATAGTATTTTGAGGAAATAATTGGTCTAGTTTCTTCTATAGAGACTCACCAATTGACCCAGAGTGGAACAGGTTTGAAAAGGTTAAAATCAAGCTGTTTAAACTTGTTAGTCACTGTACAAGCCAGCATACTAGATAAGTAAGAAGTCATTTAGATCTGAGGCACATGCTGGTCTTTAAAAAATTCTAATTTAGTTAAATGTTACATCTCTATCTCTATCTATCTATCTATCTATCTATCTATCTATCTATCTATCTATCTATCTATCTATCTATCTTTGCTTGTGTGTGTGTGCACGTGCAAGTATGCCGAGTACCACTGCACGTGTGCAGAGATCAGATGAAAACTTGTGAGAGATGGCGCTCTGTCTACTATGTGGTTCCTGGGAGTTGAACTCAGATCGTCAGGTTTGGTGGCAAGCACCTTTAACCTCTGAGCCATCTCGTTGGCCCTAGTTTTGTTTTTTTTTTAAACCGGGACCATGCCAGGTTGTCCAGACTGGCATTGAGATTGTGGGCTCTTCTGATCCTCCTGGCTCAGCCTCCCACAGAGCTGGGACTACAGGTGGGCGCCAAAACACCCAGTGAGAACGCATTATGATAGCAAGCGCATATTTCTTATCAAGGGCGAACATGGAGTCAGTGTGTAATTTAATGGTCCTTCAGGTCTAGGAGGGTCAAACACTGAAAGCATATCTTATGCATTTCTAGGCAGACCCACTAATAAAACATCCACAACAGTTCAGCAGATTCTTGCCCTGGACAGTGTGGGATGAACAGAGACTGGCAGGCTTTCTCTGTGCATGAGCCAATATCATTTCTCAGCTACTGGGGATTTGTCACTACTGTGTATACATTCTGCCTGTTCTAGACTATTCTCCGACAGCACATGTATCACACTATACAGTCCTTTGCAGAAGGATAATAGTTCAGAAAGTCCACCATCGTTCTTTCCACAGGTTAAGGGAGGTTTTCTAAGTGGGGAGGGTTGCTGAGGTGACTGTCAGCTGGGGATAGTCAACGTGGGATAAAGTAATTGACGTGGTTAATTGACCACCTCAGTCTTTGCAAAGGATGTGAAAAAGCACAAGTGGACGGGCCAGCTGTGGACAAGCTGGAAAGCAATTACAGAGTCAGGGGACAGGGAATGGAAATTGGAGGCAGCGGGAGCTTTGTCCTAAATAAGTCACCTGCGTCATAGGCTACATTTTATAGAGAAAATAACCTTTGCTTATGAACTCTGTTTTGCATGCAGTCTTGATATACCCACACAGCACACATACACACCACACACACCATGTATATGCATATACACCACACACACATACACACTATGCATATACATACACACACACACACACACTCCACACACACACATACATACACACACCACATCACACACACATACATACATACACAGCACATACATACCACATCCCATAACACACACCCACACACCACACACATATCCCATAACACACGCACACGCACACACACACACACACACACACACACACACATAGCACACACACCACACACCACACACACACATAGGAAGGAGCTAACAAGTCAGCTAAGATCAAAGAACTAGTGAACACAGCAAATGAGAATAGGGTTTAACACTTTCAGCTTCATAACCAGAATTATTCCACCTGCATGGCACCATTTCTTTGTAATAGTTAAAAACACATTTGTTTAGAAGTCAGTGTAGGGGTCAAGCTTGCTCCAGCAGTCTGGTGAAGGAGTTCCAGTCATCGGGAGACCTGGAGTTTTAGATGATGTTA